TACATTTCAATTACACTCTTTTGATCAATACTAACAGTAGAAATGTAGCTGGTTATCAAGTGTGTTCCAGGAAACTAAAATGAAACAAGGAGTTTTTCTAAGAAAATATCATTAACTACTAAGTAACATCAAATGTGCAAAAGAAAAAAAAGAATGAATAGTGGAGAATTGAGGCAGAGGGAAGATCTGGGTTAAAAGAGCAGACTGAGGAGGTTGGACCCTTGCTCAGGCAGGAAAGGTCAGATTCCTCCAGTTGCAGTAGAGCCTAGGAAGAGGTTTCTATTTGCTATGACCTCTGCTTCCCGAGAAGAACAAGGGGTGCTCTATGGGGATCACTCTGTCCTTTCTCTTCCTCAATAAGCACCACTAATCACCCTAAAAGAACTTATGTTTTATCTTTTTATTCCTTCATTACAAATAAAAAGCTTAAAAAGGCATATTATGAGTAAGTTAACTCACAAACTCATTGTCACTGAAGTAGAATCAATAAATAAAGAAATGAGTGAGGGCCATCAGGTCCTTCCTTGTGACAGGGGAAATTAATGAAAGCCTGAGGAGTGAGTGAGTCTAGGTGTTAAGGTATTTTTATCCTTTTAATTCTGGCAGCTCTATTTTATATAATAAAGGCTGTTTTTTTTTTTGTTTTTTTTTTGATAAATGAAGCTAACTCTGCTGTTGGAAAACAGGGAAAGTTCCAAAGTTCCCCTTCCCTACACTCCTCTAAACCGTTACATATCATCTGCTTGACTCCATGGTGTGCAGTGGTGTGTTTTTCTCACCAAAGTAACACTGCATGTTGTTAAAACAAACACATATTTCACTGAGATCAAACATTTGATATTTCATTTGGGTCATTTCAATTAGGTTATCTTTGCTTGGTACTTTAATTTGTATCTCTCCAGCCAAAGACTAACTACTACTATTTCATAGCAGGGGAGAGTGATAAGCAAACTGTTGTTATTTACCCATTTTTAGTTATAAACCTCAAACACTTTGTTTCTAACAACTAGTAAAATCCTATTTAAACAAATTTGAAACTACATGAAAATGTTTTGTTAATTTAGAGCATGTAAGTAAAATACAATGATTTGTTTAAAAGTGATATGCTTTACCCTGTGGAAGACCATAAATTGTCAAGAGAATACAGAATGTCTTTGGATTTCTAGTAGCCGCAGGAGGAACTGAGGCTCTGTCTATAGTTACTGTTCACATACAGATATCTATGATTAAACGACTCTTAATACTAACAAGATCAGCCTCAACAATCATAAAGAGCCACAATTCAGTTACTTCTCATTTAAGAGCCTACCTCTGGCTAAAGTAGACATAGAGAAATAGTTAAAAACTAAAGAAATGCCAAGTTTTTAAAAAGAATATTTTAATAATTAAGGATGTTCTTAAGTGATAATTGGAATCCTAAATTTAAAAAACGCCATATTAAGACATATTATTTATCGACTTAGCAATGTGTTTACTAAGACTTACCTCTAGCACTGTATTGAAACAGCATTAAACTATACCCATAATTAACAGGAAGGTCTTGGAGGCTGCCATAAAGGACTGACTTTGGGGAATACAGATATAAGCAATTCCTAGTGCTTTGTATTTGTGAAATAAAAAGAAAACAAAAACACCAGGAAGTAAACCTCAGATCTAAGCAAAGAATAAGCTCTGAGGGGCCAGACAGATGCCAAGGGTGATGAAAAAATGATAATCAATAGATCTGCTAGGTCCCAAGAGACAGTAATATGGCCCCAGGGTGGACATTAACAAACCACAGTATAGAACAATTTTCAATTTAACTTTTATATATTTATAGAAAAGTATGGCAGGGTAACTTTTATTACTGGATAAATGGAAATAATGAAATTACTCCTTTTACTTAGACAATTCAAACATAATTCTGCATTATCTCCAATAATCTTTTAATAATCTATGGACTCAAAGAATACTTTGTTAATGTTTTAATGTAATACCTAACATTACAATATTAACAACACTCCCGAATCTTCAGGACTTAATGCATGGACACAATACAAAATGAGAAGGGGAATTCTTTGTTTCTCCATAATTAGGTCCAGATAGAGGACTCCTCTCCATCAACAACCATGGCAAACTTATGCATGGTGAAGAGAAAAATTTCTACTATAATCTATTAAAATAAAAGCTAGTTTTTGAAAAACAAACCAGTTAATTTCTCTATTTATACTTATTCAAATGACAAAAGTAGCAAATCTATACTTACATGCTTAAAACAGGTCACTGGAGCAGCTATAAAGCTATTGCTGTTGATGTAATTACCCCAGCTGAAGCCTTCCAAGGAGACTGCTGCGAAAAGAGGGAAGTTAAGCTAAAAAATCAAAACCTTAAATGCTTTAAGTTCCAGTAAAAGTCCACTAAAACGAAATATGAAATGACATCAAAATTGTTAGTTGTTAATTTAGACTAAGTACAAATTAACTACTCCAAAAAGGTTATGGATCTTCCTAAGAAAGCCAGTCAGTGCCACCCCACACGTGAAGGCAGTAATGACAGCTGCTCACTTCTCTGCACTGGAGCTTTCTGAAGGTGGTAGGCACAGAATTTTTTTTTTTGGGTGAGGCAACTGGGGTTAAGTGACTTGCCGAGAGTCACACAGGTAGTGAGTGTTATGTGTCTGCAGCCAGATTTGAACTCAGTTCCTCCTGACTCCAAAGCTGGAGTTCTATCCACTGCACCACCTGGCTGCCCCTGTAGGCACAGAATTGCTGAACAGAAACATGGTCTGGAGGGCAAGGTGGCTCTTCTTGCTTTCTCCTCGCTTTCTCCTCTTGCACCCAGTCTCAGGCAACTGGACGGTGCCATCGTGTGCAGAAACTGGAACCAGGAGTCAAGAAGGTCAAATCCAGCCTCAGACACTTATGAGCTGTGTGATCCTGTGCAAGTCATTTAATCTCTGTCTGCCCCAGTTTCCTTATCTGTGGAATGGGAATAATAACAGCACCTATGTCCCAAGGTTGTTAATGAGGATCAAATGAGATAACAATTGTAAAGTGCTTAGCATACTGCCCAGCACACAGTAAGTACTACATAAATGCTAGTTATTATCATTATCTCTAACCTTTTGTCCTCCTCCCCCAAGAATCTGCCCAATGCTTTGGCTCCAGGCTTTCTTCCACACTGCAGCCCTCTAGGAGACTAGCATAAAAATATAGTTAGGATTCCAAAGAAAGGTTCTGTTATGATGATGTTGCTAGTTCAGTTAGGTTCCTCCCACATCAGGTCTGGGCAACCCTAGTTCAGCCTCCATCAAGTCTGACCCCCAGCCATCACCATGTTACCTGACTTCGTCTTGGCCTGGCTCTGTAGGGTGGCTTGGTACTGGGCATAAGCTGCTAGCTTCGCCACCAAAGGCTGCTTCTGAAGAACTTTTGCTTTCTTAGTGGGAGGTTTACCCTGAAACAAGAAGAGTTAAGTAAACAAAGTGATCTTTTTTATTTATCCCCTGAAAAATGACTATCTAGGTTGCTATTTAAACCTTGATGTTTTAGAAATTATAAACTAGGGAAGCATAAGGAAATTTCAAGATGGGAAGCTGTTAGGATGCAGAAATACATAGATGTTAGAATGCCATAGCAATATGCAGGTTAAAATATTTATTCACTAAGTGTTACATATACACACAGTTAAAACATCAGGCTATGGCAAAGCCTCAAATCCTTCCCATAGGAGATACAGTCACTCTTGGGGGTGCCACATTTATATGACAGGGCAAGACAATTTAGTGCTCAGAGGCTGGAAGGCAAGAACTGTGATGCCTCTTGTATGAAGATAAAGGAACAAAGACAAGTCTAGTCATGGGTAAATTCAGAACATGACAAATTGCCAGCCACTGAGATATAGACTAGTTTCTTTGGGCAGTTAATGAAAGCAACTAATAAATATCTATGTGGTATATTTCCTGAAATTTGGGGGCTGAAATAACAGTGCCACTGCAAAGAAAGAGGGGAAATTACTCTATTTACCAGTTAAGTAGAGTAAAGAAATGGTTAAGATGTGCTCAGTAGATAAAACCTAATATGTAAATAACCAAGTAAGGACTGTGAAAAGCTAAACTATGAACTCAAATGACAATCTGGTCAATAAGTCAATAAGTACTTAAGAGATTCAGTATTTGAAGGAGGTTAATTTTCTTCTCAAACTTGGAAGGATTTAGTAATGCAGTTTCAATTTGACAAATGCAAGCAATATTGAAAAGCAAAGGTAATGGCAAAATAAAACTAGTAGATAATTATGAAAAGTAGCCTCCTCCCTCAAAATATGCAAAAATTCTATTTTTATTTTATACTAAAAATAAACTGCTTCAAGTGCTATATGAGAAAAATTAGGTTACCTAGTCATTTTCAATATAGATTTAATTCACTCACACAAATAATAAAAGGCAGAACAGAGATATTTCTTAAGGAGGTTCACAGGATTTTTAACAAAATCACTTCATTATAAAATAGGATATAAAATGAAAATAAGGCACTGGCCAGTTGGCAGCAGCACAACTTGGTGAATCATTATCAAATGACAAAAAACAGAAAATGCTGTAGAAATTAAAAATTCATAAGAATAAAAAAGTTTCTGTACCGTTACCTGAAGTCTTGCCAAAATGCTTGCCTTCTTGGAGTTTGAGGAGTAACTTCTTGAACATGAAACACTGCAGAAACGCTTTGTTTTAGAATAAAAAGCATCTCGTACTCCAACCATTCCGCACATCTCACATGTGGCTAATTAACAAAAAGAAAGCTATCAGGAATATCTCACAAAAACTCAGTTTTTAACCACATAATTTAATCAGATCTTCAAAGAATCAAGGGATATTGATCTCTTTACACTAATTTTTACTCTCCTACAAATTCCTTCTAGTGGCTATAAAAGCAATTAAAACAGATTTCAAGAAGTTGAGAAAAGATACACATGATTTCATGGCCAGAACTTCAACTTGGTTTTAGAGGCAGTTTCCTTGCTAAATAATAAAAAGAACATCCAGATAACATTAAGACCAAATGTTGATAATGATGATACTGTTCCTTCACTGGGTTTTGCTGGCTCTCCTCTCTCCTGGTTCTGTTTCTTAGCTGGACTGTCATCTTACCATGCCCCCTATTTGTGAATATATCCCAAAGTTCTGGCCTAAGCCCTCTTCTCTTTCTCTGCTGTCTTGTTGACTTCATTAGTTCCCACAAGTTTATTTTATTATGTAGATAATTCACAGCTCTATATAGTTAGTCCCAGTCTCTCTTTTAAGCTCCAGCCCCAGATCACCAATTGCCTATTAGACATTTCAAATAAGATGTCTTGCTGACATCTTAAACTAAGCATGTGCAAAACTGAACTCATTTACTTTAGCCTTCTCCCCCTAAAACCTTCCTCTTTTCCAAACATCCTTGTTTTTGTTGAGGATACCATTATTCTTAGTCTTCCAGGTTTGTAACCTTGGTATTTTCATGCATTCCTCCTCCTTCCTCATTCCACATATGAAATGAGCCGTCAACTCCTGCCATTTCTATCTTTGAATCACTTCAGATCCTACCTTCTCTACTCATAGAGGTATCATCTTATTTTAGGCCCTCATCATCTTTTTTAAAAAAATTATTTATTTTTCAACATTCACTTCCATAAGCTTTTTTTTTTTGGTGAGGCAGTTGGTGTGAAGTGATTTACCCAGAGTCATGCAGCTAGTAAGTGTTACGTGTCTGAGGCCGGATTTGAACTCAGGTCCTCCTGACTCCAGGGCCAGTGTACTATTCACAGTGTAATATTCACTGTACCACCTAGCTGCCCCTATAAGCTTTTGAGTTTCAAATTTTCTCCCCCTTCCCTGTCTGCCTCTCTCCCCAAGATGGTGTGCAATCTGATATAGGCTCCACATATACATTCCTATTAAACATATTTTCACATTAGTCATGTTGTAAAGAAGAATTAGAACCAATAGGAGGAACCACAAGAAAGAAGAAACAAAATAGGGGGAAAAAAGGAGCAAATAGTATGCTCTGATCTGCATTCCCTCATTACCTTTTGCCTGGTTATTGTAATAGCTTCCTAATTGGTTTCACTGACTTGTCTGTTCCTACTCAATCCATCCTTCACATAGCTGTCAAAGTTTTTTTTTTTTTAGGCAATTGGGGTTAAGCGACTTGCCCAGGGTCACATAGCTAGTAAGTGTCAAGTGTTTGGTCTGAGGTCACATTTGAACCCAGGTCCTCCTGAGTCCAAGGCCGATGATCTATCCACTGCACCACCGAGCTGCCCCCAAAGTGATTTTTATTAAGCCCTAAACCCACTGACTATGTCAGTGCCCTACTTCAATGAATTCCAGCAGCTTTTTATAGGCTGTAGCATTGAGTATACATCTGTTTGGCTTTTAAAGCCTTTCACAACTTGGCTCCAACCTATCTTGTTTCATTACACATTACTCTTCTTGTATCCCAGGATCCAGCTAAACTGGCCTTCTCTCTATTCCTCACATAGAGCCCTCCATTTCCTGTCTCTGCCTTTGCACTGGCTATCCTCAATATCTAGAATACACTTTCTCCATGCCTCTGCCTCACAGAATTCATCACTTCTTTCAAGATACAGCTCAAGCAACAACTTCTATAAGATGTCCGATCCTGATTGCTAATGCTCTCTCAAACTACCTTATAATAATTATTTTGTATTTATTCTGTCATATGTCCCAAACTATTTAACTAGATCAGAACAAAAGTTATCAAGTTTAATTTCACAGTGATTCTGGCCTAGCTCCCATTGATCAATGGGGTCCAACATTCCAACATTAATAGCAAGGAAGGCAGCAGTTCCAGATCGTGGTAGTATTAAGTGTGAGTGTGAGTGTGTGTGTATATGTGTCTTTCTGTTTCTATACATAGGGGAAAGGAACAGACCTGTGATTTCACTGACAGAGAAAACTCCGTGGATGAGGAAACTCCCTCTACCAATGCAAGTTGCTATCTTTTCTGCAACTGAGACTCTTAAAGAACTGTCTAGAGCTCTGAGAAATTAATTATTTGCCCGGCATCACACAGCCAGGACCTGAACCTAGGTCTTCCTGACCTCAAGGCCAGTTTTCCATCCACTGTCATTCTGCACCATATCACTCTTCCTTCTTCTCATACACACGTATCCTAAATATGATATCTCACACACACACACACACACACACACACACACACACACACACGATCTGGCAGAAGAGATGGATGGTCCCTCTCAGAGGCTGGTGACGAGGAAGCCCTGGAGAGCACAGACCTTGCGATGTTCCATCTGTGAGCACTGGCATCCCACCAGGATAAATCTGAGATTGTAACTGTGGGTGTGGTATAAGGATCTGAGTTCTGATTTCCAGGTGTTGAAGGTAGCAGCAATGTCTTAGTGATGGCTGGGAAGTTCCACTTGCCATTTTCCTTTTTGGTCATCTCTGCCAATCTCATGGGCATGATATAGAAACTCACAATTGTTTTAATTTTCATTTCTCTTATTATTAGTGCTTTGGAGAATTTTTCCACATAGCTATTGACAGTTTGGATTTCATCCTTTGAGAGTTGTTCATATCATTCTACCATTTATCTATTAGTGAATGGCTCTTCTTATATAGTTGCATCATTTCTCTACATATCATGGATATTAGACTTTTATCAGAGACACTTGCTACAAATGTTTCTCCTCAGTTTACTATTTTCCCTTCTAATTTTAGTTGAGTTAGTTTCTTTTGTGCAAAATTTTTGAATTTATGGGGCAGCTAGGTGGCACAGTAGATACAGCACTGGCCCTGAAGTCAGAAGGACTCGAGTTCAAATCCGGCCTCAGTCCAAACACTTAACACTTACTAGCTGTGTGACTCTGGGCAAAGTCACAATTGCCTAAAAAAACCCAAACCCAAACCCAAAACAAAGCAAAATCTTTTGAATTTTTGTAATAAAAATTGCCTATTTTATCTTGTAATCCTCTCCACCTCCTTGTTGTAAAAACTCATCCCCTACCTATAGTTTTTGAAGTTATCTCCTTTTCTGTTTATATGACATTTTTATATCTAAGTCACATATACATTTGGAGCTTTGTGTGGTATGTGGTCCAAGTTATTAGTCTGTATCCAATTTCTGCCAGAATGCTTTTCTATTTGAAAAGCTTTTGTCAGGTGGTGAGTCCTTACCCCAGGAGCTGGGATCTTTGGGTTTACTGAATACATGCTATTAGGTTTGCTTGCTTTTGGAGGTTGTGAACCTAATCAGTTCAAGTTTTTAATCAGTTTAATCAGTTCCATTTTTTAGCCATTTTTAGTTTTGATGATTACTGCTTTATAGTGATTTGAGATATGGTATTATAAGGCCTCACATTTTTGCCCCATTATTTGAGATTTCTGACCTTTCGCTTCACCAGCTGAATGATGCTACTTCTTTTCCCCCCTACCCCCCCATAAAGTAATCCTTTGGTAGTTTGATTGGTATAGCACTGAAGAAATTAACTTAGTATTTGATTTTTTAGGATATTGTCATGATCCAAATAGGAAGAATCAACATTTCTCCAATTATTTTGGACTGTCTGCTTCTGTAAAGAGTCTTTTGCATTTGTATTCATATAGTTCCTCTGTCTGTCTTAATAGGTGTGGACACTGTAGTTATTTTAAATGGAATTCCTCTTTCTATCTTTTCCTGCTGGGTTACCAATATACAGAAAAGCTGATCATTTATGTATGTTTATTTTATACCCTGATACTTTGGCTGCTGACACTACTATTTCAATTAATTTTGAGTTTAATTGCTAGGGTTCTAAGTAGACCATTAATAAGTAAAAGGTGATCATTTTTTTCCTCTTTGCCTATTCCTACTATGCTCAATTTCTTTTTCTTTAAATTTACTGGTATGGTTAGCATTTTTAGCACTATCAAATAATAGTTATGATAATGGACATCCTTGCTTTACCCTTGACCTTACTGGGAAGGTCTCTCTTACTTCTCTCTCTCTCTCTCTCTCTCCATATATATATATAATCTGAATCTTAGTTTGAGACAAACACTATTTTATCATAATAAGGAAAGATCCATTTATTCCTGTGATTTTTAGTGCTAATAACTGGAGTGTTTTATTTTGTCCAAAGCCTTTTCTGTATTTAGTAATAAAATTATGTGATTTTTGTTCTTATATGATCTATTATATTTAGTTTCCCTAATATTAAAATAACTTTTAATTTCTGCCATAATCCAACTTTGTCATAGTATATAGTATTTTTAATATGCTGCTATAGCATTCTTGCTAATTTTTAAAGTCTTTCTGTAGACATTCATTAGGGATTCTGGTCTATAGTCTTCTTTCTGTTTTGTCTATAAGGTATCAGGACCATATTTGTATCATTGAAGGAAGTTAATGGGTTCTTTTTCTATTTCTGCAAACAGTTTATGTAATATTACAATTAGTTATTCTTTGAATGTTTGATAGAATTCATTTGTAAATACAGATGGTCTATGGCCTTTTCCTTTGGTGGGTGATTTATGGCTTGTTTAATATATTTTTCTGAGGTTTAGTTCTTTACATTCTCTATATCTTGTTTTGCTAATCACTTATTTACTTTAAAAATATTAATTTCATTTATCAATTTTGGAGGGCATATAAGCAGGCAAAATAGTTTCTCACTTCCTTTACATCTCCTCGGCTTATTGTAAATTCTTTTCCATTTCTGACACTGGAAATCTGAATTTCCTCTCTTTTTTAATCAAACTAGATAATGGTTTATATATTTTATTATTTTCAAAACAAAACAAAACAAAACAAAAACAAAAATGAGGCAACTAGGTGGCGCAGTGGATAGAGCTCTGGCCTTGGAGTCAGAAGAACCTGAGTTCAAATCCGGCCTCAGACACTTAACACTTTCTAGCTGTGTGACTCTGGGCTAGTTACTTAACCCCGATTGCCTCACCAAAAAGCAAAAAAGAAAACAAAACAAAACAAAAAAAAAAAAGAAAGAAAAGAAAAGCAAAAAAACAGTTTCTAGTTACTTATCAAGTCAACTTTCAAAAAAAACAAACAAACAAACAAACAAAATTTGTTAATCTCTTCTTTGATTTTTTTCAGAGTTTATAATTTGGTATTTTGTTGTTGTTTTTAAATTGGTTGCTTTTCCAGTTTTCTTAATTAAGAAATGTTCCATTAAATGTTCCATTTAGTTCTCTCTTTTATTGACCAAAGTGTTCAAGATAAAAAATTTCCCCTCAGGCACGTGACCTACTGAGATGCTTCTGATTTGCTGCCATCAAAAGCAGGTGCTGGTGGCCAGTTGATAGGCATCTGAACAGTGCTGGGCGCAACAGGGAGGAGTCAAAGATAATTTATCTGGCACTCCAAATGATGTGCAGGCCACTCAATATCAGGCATAACATTCAGAGGGCCACTGGAAATGAATGGGGTAGGGACAGGAGTTATATTGGGGGACAAGTTTGCAGGAAAGCTATTTACCAGGCCTGCAGCATGGTAGCCTGGTGAGTCAGGATACCTTGCTGGAACAGATATTCAACGTCTTGCTAATTTTAGGGGCAGTTCAGGGTTGGATTGGAAACCTCTCTTGTCACACCAATGCAAGGTCCATGAAGTAGACAATGGAACGCCTGGAAATAGGACCTAAACCTCAAACGTAGGGGAATAGAGATTATAGCTTTGGCAAGTCCCTTAATATTATGGAGTCTTATTTTCCTTTTCCTTCTATCTCTATGGGTTCTAAAAGAGGGAGTGGGTCATATAATGGCCTAGCTGCCCACAGCATAAGCAAAGCCCTCAAGCCCTCAACAGTAGGCTTGCACATTCTGTGGGTATCTGAACTAAGTACTGCTTACCTGTATAAAGTTCTCTGAGTCCAGTATGAAGGCTGTTTGATACTTGGTTACAAAAAAGGAAGTGGCTAGGGTCTTCTGAGGTAGTCATGGAACTGGGTCTCAATGCAAAGGCACTGAATACTGATGGCTAGGCAAGGGCAAGGCCACCTTTCTGTCCTGAATGGTTTTAGCAATATCTTCTTAAAAGGGTCCATGAGGGTCAAAAGTTCCAAGTGAGCTCAGCCAGTCAACAAACATTTATTTAGCACTTAATCATATGTCAGGCATCATGCTAAGTGCTGAGGATGCAGAGAAAGGCAAAACTGTCCCCACTTTCAAGGAGCTCACATTATAATGGAGGAGACAACATATAAATAACTATGTACATACAAGATATATAAAGAACAGATGGAAGAGTAATCTGAGAGAAGTCAGTAGTAGCTGGGTGGACTGGGAAAGGTCTTTTGAAGACAGTGGGAGCTGAGCTGAATCCTGAAGGAAGCCAGGGAAACTAACAGACAGATGTGATGAGGAAAAGTATTCCAGCCATGTGGGACAGCCAATGCAAAGATACAGAGTTGGGAGACAGAATGTCATCTTCAAATGACAGTAGGCAGGCCAATGTCACTGGATCCAAGAGTACATAGAAGTGAATAAAGTTTAACTACTTTGTAAAAGTAGAAAGAGGTCAGGTTGTGAAGGGCTTTAAAAGCCAAACACAGCATTTTATATTTCAATGAGAGATGTGAAGGTAGAAAATAAAAAATCTGGCAACAGACTAGATGTGGGAAGTGACGATGAGAAGTCAAAGATGACAGCTAGGATTAAACTTGGGTGACCAAGAGGATGGCAGTGCCCTTGAGAGTAACAGGAAAGGAAAAGGGGAGGATTTTGGGGGAAAGGTAATGAGTTTTGTTTTAGACATTTTGAATGTGAGATGCCAACGGGACATTTAAATCCAGATGTCCAAAAGATAGTTGGTAATGCAGCACAACGGTTCATCTGCTTGGAGATAACTGAACCCAGGGGAGCTGATGAGATTATCCAGTGAGATACCACAGAGGGAGAAAAGGGCTCAGGAAAGAGCTTTAGGGGTCATTCATGGTTAGTGAGCATGATAGGGATGAGAAACCATTTAAGGAGCCTGAGAATAAGGGCTCAGATAGATGGGGGAGAACCTGTAGAGAGTAGTGCCATGAAAACCCAAAGAAGAATGAGTAACTAGGAGGCAAATGTGATCAAGTGTCAAGTGCTGCAGAGAGTTCAAGAACGATAAGGAATGAGAAAAGGAAATTAAATTTCTGGCAATTAAAGATCACTGGCAACTTTGGAGAACACAGTTTAAGTTGAATGATAAGGCTAAAGCTAGATTGAAGAGCGTTTATAGAAGAGAGGACGAGAGGAACTGAAGGTACTTAATATAGATGGCTTTCTCAAGGAGTTTAGCCATGAAGAGGATCAAAGATCAGGGATGATATGCAGTGGGGTATCAGTTTTCTCAGTCTCCTTAGTGAAGGTTTTTTAAAGATAGGAGAGACATGCCATTTTTGTAGGTAGTAGGGAAGAAGCCAGAAGATAGGGAAAGACTGAAGTTTATAGAGTAGAAATGACAGACTCTAGAATATGGGAGGGATGAGATCACGCTCTTGGCTCTAGGACCTGAAAAGGCTAGAGCACTCTTTTACCAAATTCTTCTCTTCTGGGGATGCTGAAATTGTCAGCGGACTATCTTTGGTTATGGTAGATGCTTGAACATCTGAGGTTCAGCCAGGAATCCTTATGAAGGTTCTGTTTGGGGGCTCATTCAGCCAGCCACTGGCCCTAATGCTGAACAACATGACTGAATAGCTGCAAAAAAATCTTTTGCTTGCTTTTTGCAGAAAATCTTATAAAGTCTTAGATGTTTCTAAAATGTTGGTTGGCTTGCACTAGGAAATGTGCAATTCCTTTACAAATGTTTGAAAATTTCTTAGTGGACTGAGGAGCCCACCAAGCTGCTAACAAAGCTAGTTGGTCTTTAATGTGAGGCTGCCATCTGCCCAAAGAAGGTCCTGATTTTCATTTGTACTCACTTCAGATGCTTTTTCTTTCCGAGTTGCCACCTTGGCTTGCAGTGCTGGGACAGAAAGAGCCATTCCCTCCATCTCACTCCTATTCTCTCAGGTATCTGAAGGCTTTTCACATGGAAAATGGAGGAACACTAATTTTATGCTTGGGCTGGAGAGGGCAGAGCCAGCAACAATAGGCAGGAGTTACGAGGTGGAGAAGGGCAAGGGCAAGGGGCAGAATTCAACTCAATCCCAGGGAAAGCTTCTAACAACTAAAAATAGAATGAAAACTGCTCTATCAGATAGTAGTATCTTATTATAAGTGTTTCAAGAGAAGCTGAATGACCACTGCTAAAGAAAAACATGGCAAGGATACCTGAACTGAGTGCAAGGCTGGATGAGATTACCTTTTTGGTTCCTTCCAATTCTTAAGCTTTTATGATCTTATGAACTTTCAATATTTTAGAAGTTGATTATCTATCTTATAAATGACCTAGTTCTTATTCTTCTTCCTCCTTTTTCTTGCTTATTATTATTTTAACATTTTGCTATTTATTATTGGTGCCACTATAAGATGGGCATGAAAAATAAAGAGAAATTACTCAAATCCAATGATATTATCTGGAAATGTAAATTCTGCGGCATATGTCTATTCCATTAGAAAATTTTTAAAGAGGTTTAAGGGGAATAAAAGAGGAATTCCAATTTTTAAAAAGCAAACAATAAAACTGAGTAATAAAAATAAGATAGCACTCACCCATGCCAGATTTACCATCTGGGTATGTGTAGACTTGTCCATTATTCTTAATAATCGGGAGACTAGAGGGTAAGGGAGCAACTTCTTCTTCACTTTCATCAGAGCTGGAGCTGCTACTGGTGTCCTCACTGCAGCTATCATAACCGTCAAACATCCCGAATGAATCTCGCCGCTTCCTTTCGGAATGTGTAGAATGCTCAGTCTTAAAACAAAAATAAAACATTATTGCATTATAATTAACAAGAAATTAAACAGAAAAAATTAAGTATTCTTGAAGCAGAAATGGTGGTCGTGTAAAATTTTTTATTCAAAAGTAGAACTCAATCTTATCAGGCAGGAATTCTTAAGGCATGAAGCTAGTGCCACTATTTAAGTCACTTAAAAACAGTAATAGTGATCTTTCTTTGAAATTTCTTAGGGATCACAGGGTAGTTGAACATTAAGGACATCATGATTATCCTTATTCAAATTTTGGATATTCACCATTTCACAGGAGTTTTAACCTTAATTCAAACTTTTTGGTCTCATGATTTACAATTATCTTCAACGCAAGTAATGGTTAAAACTGTCCCGATGGAAAAATTACTTCCTGTTCAAAGAAGACTCTTCTTCTATTGCACTTAAAAAGCTATCCCCTTCTCCCAAATGAAAACATACAATTTTTAAAAATCCCCCCAAACCATGAGCCATTATGTTTTCATATGCAATATTCCACGTCTTTTCCTAGATTACTTTATTTGGGGGTCAATTTTCTAAAAGACAAAAATAAAACAATAGATGATTATGTCAACTACTCAGTCCTAAAGAAATCAGATGACAGGAGGAGGTTGTAAGACTTCAGAAATAAAAGATACTATGCCTTATTTAGTGACACCTAAGGTAACGCTTGCTTTTCAGGTTGCCACATCACACTGTTCTGCTTATCAATGAGCAGGCAGCTTGATGAAGTTTGTGAAACATTTTCAGTCAAACTGTTCCTTGGGCATGCCTCCACCATCATGTACTTGGGAAGTTGACTTTTAGAACCAAACACAAGGTTTTTGCATATTTGTCCTTATTAAATTTCAATTATTAGATTCAGTTCAATGGTCTAGCTTCTAAAAGTCTATTTGGATCCATATTAATGATCCCTCCCAGGTTTTCTTCATTTGCAACCTGATAAGAATACCACTTAAGCCTTCATCCAAGTCAATGATAAAAATGCACAGTTCCTTGGGACTCACCACTGGAGTGCTGCTTCCAAGGAGACAAACACCACTCATGATTCTAATCCACCTAACTGTACTGTTATCCATCACTTAGCCCAGTGCCTGCCACACAGAAAGCTCTTAATAAATGCATTTTGATTAATCTACTTCACATTCCCTCATTTTCATTTAGTTCATATCTATCTTCTCCACAAGAGTAGCATGAGGGACTTTGCAAAAATCTTGCTAACACAAACACACACAAACACACACACACACACACACACACACACACACACACACACACACACA